TGTACAGAAATGCTTGTAAATCAATAGGGGTCTGTCATCAGGTTCCAAATGAGGTCCACACCAGTGTACTCAGGAAAAAGTATGTAGAAAATAAGGGATAGATATATAGCCCTAATTTTCAACATTCTCTACCCCCCCATTTTTTAATTCAAACCGTGTAACACTATATCTGAAAACCTGAACTACGTTGTAAATTATTGATTATCTACGTTTGTAAATAGCTTTGTAAAACTTGTATTGCAATAGACATAACCTGGCTACGTCTGTAAATAACTATGTCAAACCTGTATTGTTATTAGCTTAACTATGCGTGTATATAACGTTGATCAATTTAACTTGTGAGAGAGAACCCAAAGTACATTTAATTGGAATCAAACTTCACTTTGATTACAGTGTAAGAGTAATTACTTCTTGTTTAGCGTACAAGAAGATATATTGTGTCTGTGCTTGACATTGATAGTAACAAGATAGATCATTTTCGTGCTTGACATTGATAGTAAAGAGATAGATCGTGTCCAGATTGACATTGATAGTAAAGCATTCTTGGAAACCGTGAGTTCTTGATTGAGTTGTACCTTGGTTGATAGAGTGTAAAAGACTCTTATGGAGTAGGGTATTTACTACAAGTATAATACAGCAAAATGGATTCTAGTACAATAGATGGCATTGTAGAATTTGTACACTCTCAGTACAGTCGTAATCTGACGTCACAAGTGTAAATTCAGTTTCTGTGTCCGACAAAATTATCAATAACAGTGATATGTTTAGAAAAAAAATACTTATTTTACAGTAAAATAAGTGCAATTTTATTTGGTCTTGGAAAACATATGAGAAAATTTTGTTTTCCTTGTAACATTGGACACTTGTGACGTCGTGTATAATTGGTCTATTTCTCTGTTACCACCTATTGTACTTGATAATCTATTTTCATTTAGCTAACAATAGAAATTAAATGTTGCAGTTCTTAGAAAAGAGTGGTTAAATTAGAAAAACACACATTAAAGTTTAAGTAGCCCAAATTAGATTATTCTTTTTTCAATTCAATGGATAATTATTATTATTAAGTAAAATACAATATATAATAAAGGCCTATTTAACTACAATAGGACTAATCGATGCTGTAATTATGCTTTGTTCATGCATGTACTTTCCATAACCAGTAACTGGCATAAACAAAAAAATCCTGTATTAGTAATATTAAACAAATTCCCTGCAATTATTTTTTTTTAATTTAGTTAGTTTTGTATTTATTTAACACATGCAGCTTATGAAAAATTAAATATCTTTATCTCCATTAAAAAGATATTAAAATAAAATACCTTTCCTTTTTTGTTAGGTATAACATTATAATGTAAAATAAGAAAAGTAAGAACTCAATTTTACTGCAGAATTGAATTAATAATATGTTTTCAGTTTGTAAGTGAAAACAACATAAAGAATAGGGCGACATTAATAACACATTTTAATATTAGAACAACATTATTACTGTCAAGTGTCGTTCTTCATCATTTACTTTTTCGGTGCTATGGAAACGCCTCAACACGGAATCGGACCCAAAAAAACCGGAAACCTCCCCAAAATGAATATTTTTAAAGCGTTTCCTGTTTTTTCAAAAATTATTGGAAATCCCTCAAATCCAATTTTTAGAGGAATTTCCCGTTTTTTTGAATCGTTTCCTCGATTTTTAGGTCGGATTCCGGTTTATCAGGGTCTTATATTGTTGAGGGAAACGGACCCAAAAAAAGGGGAAACCGATCAACAAACTGAGAGTTTAAAACTTTTACTGAAAACCGGAAACTGACCCAAAAAAAAGAGGAAACGGACCCAAAAAAAGGGGGAACCGATCAACAAACTGAGAGTTTAAAACTTTTTCTGAAAACCGGAAACTGACCCAAAAAAAAGAGGAAACGGACCCAAAAAAACGGGAAATGAATCAAATGTAAATATAGCGGAGACCGACCCAAAATATTCGGAAATCCCTCTACACTTTTTAGTTTTTGAGGGATTTCCGATAATTCTTGAAAAAAGAAGGAAACGGACCCAAACTCACTTTTGGGTCCGTTTCCGTGTTGAGGCGTTTCCATAGCACCACATTTTAAACCCTTTTCATACTGCGGGTAGGTGGTGGTGGGGGGGGGGGGAATTGACCCCCAAACCTTCCCTTTTGCTGCAATACCTTTTTCTATGCCAATTGAAATATCTGTTTTGGCGAGCAGCTTTTAAAACTTTACCAATTTTTTTAATTTGGAAGATAATTGGATAATTTAGCAAACTTAAATAAAAAGGGTGTAGGTGTTTGATAATATTATTTTTGTTCACAGATCATGCAGTTTTTGATCTATATAACACGTTCTGCCAAATAACCTATAATGCTAATGGTAATCTTATGAAATTTTTGTGTACTTATCTTGATCATTATTTATTATGTTATTTCTAGAAATAACATTAAAACATATATTAATTAGAAAAGTAAAGTTAATTCATAAATTTTTAAAAATTCCTTTAGAAATCTGTTAATCCAGAAACCAATTTAACTTTTTAGCACAGTGCTTAAATGATAAAGTGAACATCGGTTTTAAAAAAAGTGTGTTTCAATTTCAAATGGGATGATGAAGGACATTTAAAATATGTATAATACATCAATTTTCTAATGTATTACTTATCACACACACGATCACCAACGTACTAAGGTTTTGCACTACTCTAGCCGAGATAGGGTTGAGCACTGCATTAAAAAATTATATTCTTCAGGGCTTAATTTGTTTTTACAAACACCCTTTATATTTTATAATATTTTACACATTTACAACCAATTAAGAATATAATATATGAATTTCATTAAAAAAGACATAAAATGTATTTTTCTGTTTTTATTTCTCTTTTATCAGGGCTCTATATCAAAATAAGAATACTTTTATCTCTCTTAGGATTACTAGTTAAAATAATAAGCTTGCTTGTTATAGAAAACACTATTTCTTGCAACCTTGTAGTACTAGAATTTTTAAAATCATGATAGATCCTTCATTTTACATGCAATCCACGTACAGTCAAACCTTTAATAACGAATACATCGAAAGAATTCATCAAATGTCGTATTCTTCACTTTCTGATAATGGAATGTTGCGGATATATAGTTTTTTAATTTAATGATTATATGGAACTCTTTAAAACTGTTCCCACATATTTATGGATATTTATTTATTTTCGCAAATACTGAAATTTACGTAATATAGTATAAAACTCATTGAACAATTGTCAAGACGACATTTGATAAATTCTTCCGATGTATTCGTTACTTAGGGTTTCACTGTATTTGATTAGATACGGAAACTATGAGAGAGAATTTTTCACGGAGCCAGAGAAAGTAGTGAATAAAAAACAAGAAAGGAAATGATAGACGTAAGAGAATAGTTAGAGGAAAACCAAACCAATTTTTTAAACAAGAAAAAATTCTTTTTTTTAAATTCTTTTTTTTACTTTTTTTCTCTTCTCTCTCTTTATTTTTTCTTTTTTTTTATGACTGATAGAGAGAAGAAAAAGAGAACATTACTCAATTATGTTTTAAAAATCCAGTCTATACAAGTTATTAGCAAATGAATGCTACAAGCGAGTAATAAAATTCAATATCAACATCCAAACCTAATAGTTAAGATTAGGGCAAAACAGGAAGCAAGATCAGCCCGCGTAAAAAAAGTATTCACTATAGTATATAGGGATACTCATGGTAAAGTTTTTTGGGACAATGACGCAACAAAAATCGTTGGGGTACATAAATATTAACCAATCTTGAGTAAAATAAAATAATAGAAAGATCTCTATAACAAATTTGAATCATGTTTACTAATGTATCGTTTTATTTGAATGCGTGAGCGTGTGCCCACACCCTTTAATCAATAAATTATTAAAGTTAAAAAAGATACGGAAACTAAACCATTCTATTTAAAGGGACTGTAGAGTGTAGACGCAATTTCAAGGGACCGTTCATTTATCTGCTGACCAACAAATTGCTTAAAGGGTTCTGTTGATAATCAAATATACCGCTCTACAATTGGAGAATACCCTTGAAATTACGGCTCAGTCTCTTTAAACAGAAGCATTTTATAGTGACAATTCAAATTTTGTTGTACAGCACTCTTCACTAAAATCCAATATTTCTTCGGTCAGAGTACTGCAAATCACTGCAGTACTCACTGACAGCTTAGTTGAGGTGACTTACAACTCTTTCATTGACAATAAAAATCTATTCTTTTGAGACAATATTTTGCTTGTTTGTTACGACATTTCGATATAGTTATGCAGTTCATAGATATCATGTTTGGGGAATTTTTCGTTGATGAATAAGATCAAATTTGAATTTACTGCGATTGACAATAAAGATTCATTGATATAACATATTTATGAGTGATAATTAGAAATTTCATTTATATGCAGATTTCTGCAGCTTGTAAAAAATTCTTTTTTTAAAGTTGGGAAACTGTAAATGATTTAACTCTTATTGAAATACTATATGTTTACAATTATATATTCTCTTATTGAAATACTATATCTCCAAAAAGTTACCCTCGTACCACCGTTTATGAATTCGTCGACGAGGACAAAGCACGACCTTCTTGAGTACTGATATTAAGCTGAAAGATAAAAAGGCTCCATACTTGAGAATGTATATACAAGGTACAATGTACATGTGCGTTTTGTATAAACCCTCTCATTTCTTTATAACCTAGTTTCTTCCAACAAATTTAGCTGTTGTGCACTAAACAGAAATGCATGCATAACAAAACACTTATATCTTCTTCCTTCCAATTCTTGAATCTAACCCCTCCCCTTCATATTTAGAGAGGGATAAAGAAAAACGAAACTGGAGTATTGAAGAATTAAATAATTATTACTCTTAAGTGTAACAATTTTAGATTGCTCTCACAAAAGAATAATGTACAAAATTTTAAAAATCTCGCATTTATCTTTATTTAGAAAAATTATTTTTAAAAAATGATTTTTAGGTTGGATCTTTTAACTACGACAATACTAAGATGGTTTTCAATGATGAGTTCATTGCTGACGAGACTAAGATTAGGTGAAGTTTTTGAAAAATTAAGTATTTTTGAATTTGTGAATACTATTTTATTACTTTTACTCTTACTATGAGATTATTGACATTTTGTATTGTGAATTGTAATTTTTATACACCTTTTCAGTTTGTCCATAAAAATGTATTACACTTTCTTTTATCTTTTTCTTTTTATGATTTTGAAGAATAATTTTCCATAAAATAAATTTTAAATTGTTATTATTAAGGTCTGTTCTCGACTACTCAATCCACATTGATAAGCTCCCAGAGGATAAGCAGAACTATATGGCCCTCACTGGTAACTTCAGTGTAGCTGGTTTTCAGCTCACACTTAAAAGAAAGGTTGGTGGAAAATTTTAACCTGAAAATTTTAAAATATATGGAAAAAAAATCTTCTATATCTCTTTTATTGAAGGTTTTGACGTAAGCTGGTAATTTGCGACCAAGGTTATTGTAAAATAAAGTATCAATTTCCAATATTGAATATTAGGGGAATTCATATATGTTATTCTTATTTGAACAGGGTAAACCACATTTTTTGTAATGAACAGTGTGCAGAGGTCTAATTGGAAAAATATCTTGTCATTGTATAAATTTATTTAAAATATGTTGAAGTCAGTTTACAGAATATCAGGTGTCCAGGCTATAAAGATAAAATGCTAACTTAGAAGGAAAAATTGTACTGAAAATTTTTTTTAAAGTCCAGAATGCATTTTTATTTATCAGAAACTACTTCAAATTTTCTTTCTGATGGATCATCAATAATATGGTCTTCTCATCATCAATGCATAAAGGAAATAAGCTAAAAACTTTTAAGTCATAAGTTTTACTTTTGGGATATTCTATTGAACCAGATTTAGACTAAAACCAGATCTTAATCAGAGATTTCTTGTACTACAAAGTATCAGTCCCTTAATAAGAGGTGTTTTATGTTATTTATTCGAATCCAGTTTGAAAGATGAGGAGGTAACAGATTAGATATAAGTAGAATTCTAGCAAAGTTGAAACTTGTTTTGGTGTGAAAACAGTGTAACGCATGGCATTTATCCTCTGGGCATGATGTTGCGTATTTGTCTTTGTTTAGGACGTAATAATACCAAAGGAATTGAGTCTTTGCCACAAACTCTGATTTTCTTATCCCTATATCTTTACAACAAAAAGTCATAGACCTTTCAAACTATGAATTATGTTATTTCAAATAATCAAAGGTTTACACCATCAGGTTGCAAAGATACAGAGATTCAAAAATTAGAGTTTGTTGCAAAAACTCAGTTCCTTTGTACTGTTGTATCAACAATGTATACTGCAAATTGTAATTAATGAAAAATGTTAATCAATGCAAATAAAAAAGATATAAAATAGTTAAAATATTAAATTAAAATACTTCAAGTTTATATATATGCTTTTTATTTTTTCGAGTTTTTAAAATTTATTCAATAATTTTGTTGTTTAATTTGGACAACCAAGAATTCTTCTTGAATAAAAAATGCCTTTGCAGCTACCAAAAAAAAATTAAATTTTATTGGTCTTCCAATCAGATAAAAACACTTTTGCTTAAAGTAGTGGATTTGAACTTTCAAAGAGCGTATGCTATTATAGATTTTAAAAGTATGCTAGATGTCTCTCTGCTTTTTCATTGTAGGAAAGTTTTCTACTACAAGCTATTTAAGCAGGAGGTTTCTACCGGTCCGTGTATCTTTTTTTATTTTATCAGTGGAGGTAGTTTAAAGGGACCGTTTACTTACTTGGGTAATTTGAGGGTAAACTATTAGCTATTTATTAGTATTAGTCTTACATTTCAAAGACAACTGTGACCTGATAAAAATACGATTTATCATTTAGAATTCCAGCGCAAAGGTATGATAGACACTATTTGATCCTTTTTGTCATGGATTAAAAAAAATGTTCAAATATTAAATCAAATTGTAGGATCTAATAGTCTATTGTAGATATCTTAATTTTTTTATTCAAAATTATTTTAAAATTGTCCATTTTCAAAATATAACTTATTTTAAACATTTGACCGTTTGCTACATTTTCTCTACTTCTCCAGAAATCCCCGTGATTTATTGAAAAGTTGGAATCTAGGAACCGGGTTGTCTGAGAGAGAAAGTCGTCTTTGTATACACGTGTTAATTATCTATATCATGTTTGAACACAATAACCTTTAATTTCTTGCTAATTCTAAAATCAAAAGTTTTATATTTTATTATTCAATGGCTAACCCCTTGATGCCATAAGCCTCGGCTTTGCAGACACAACCTCCCAGATTTGCTATGTAGACCAAGCCTCAGCCATGCAGTAAGAGCCTAAGAGCCTCCGCTATACAGAAAATGAGCCTTCGCTATACAGATACATGGAGTCCTGGGGTTCCTTCCCAGTCCCTCAGTCATTAAAATATGATAATTTTAGCTTTTATTGGGCTGTAGTTCCTGATAAAAACGTTTGAATAGTGTCTATGCAAAAGGTATCATACCTTTCCGATGGAAATCTAGACGATAAAAAGGCTTTTTCTCCAGATATAGGACGCCGAGGACTTCTAAAAAAAGAAGCTTAGAAATTACCTAACTCCAACAAGTATGATAAATACTAATTCAATATTGTTATAATATATATTTTTCTAATTAAAAACGCACAATAAGTGAAATTATAATTGTAATTTCAAATGCCTAAAAACCACCCCCCCCCCCTTTCAAAACTAAATTACCAATGGAAGTTAAAGGAAAACTAAGTAAAAAAAGGAGCAAAAGCGAGAAGAGTAGTTTGATCAGCTCTTTTACGACTAAATGTTATTATAAATGGATTTCTCTTTATTTCAAATTTCAGACATCAATTTTATTACAAAAAAAACAAACATTTTACATAAATTGTATTTTATGCAAATTTATCTTAATAAAAGAAATTTATTTGTTATTTTTCTAACGTTTGTCTTCTTCAATTTTGTTAGAGGACCCTTCAAATGTGAGTCTTGAAAAGTTTGACTAGTAAAATGTAACACACACTTTATTAATTAGGGGTCGGGGGTTGAATCCGCCCACAGTATATAATAAACAAAATTAGATAGGGTTAAAACAAGATCGATAGGGTTAATTTAACTGAGTCACTCAGAAGGATAATTAGGCGCGTTGCAGTGTCCAAGGCCACACAAATTAACAGTGAAATAAAATAAAAGACTAAATTATTGCGAAACTTTAAAGTATGTAGTCTTGATTTTTGTGTAACTAGCCTTAGAGGGCGCTTCGCGCCCATCTTCTAAATTAATTGTGAACATGTTCTCTTTGTGTACATCGTAAAACAAAACAAAAATAATTCGCGGATTTTCACAAAAAATTTTGCGGATTTTCAAAATTTTAAAAAATTTAATGACGATCGAATTTTGATGGAGACAAATATTTAAAATTTTAATCATTCATAAACCTTCCCTGGGGTCCCTAGATGTCCCACAAAAAATTTGGGCCCGATCGGTTCAGCCGTTTTGACGTTTATTGGATACAAACAAACAAACAGACAAACAAACAGACAAGCCAAATTTATATATAGATGTGTATTGATATAAAGTTTAAGCTAAAAAGAAAATTCTACTGTTTTGACCAAACCAGTGTGCTAGCTAGGAGAGCTAGTTAGGAGGAACGTTGTTTGTGTTCAATAAAGTGTTCGTAAAGAATTTTACACATATTAAAAGATGTTACTTCAGTCTGAAGACAAGACTACACTGTAAATTGTAGACAAAGGAAAAAGGAAAAACAAAAAAATTTTACTTACATGCAACAGTTTTGAAACAATTAATTACATATTTAAAAATAAATCAAAGATAAATAATAATAACATGTAAGAAAACAAAATGAAAGCAGCCTATAATTAAAAATGTTCTTTTCTTTCGCTCCTATAACATTTCGTGAGATAAGAAAGATTTTTGGTTCGATCGCTAAAGGTCATTAAATGTGCTAAATGCTTCTTTCACTCGTATACATCTACAGAAATAAAAACCATAGTTTCTATATCCATATATTTAATATTAGTAAAAATTGATGTTATAAGATTTTATTGATAAAATGGAATATTTTTCCACAAATGATGAAATTCTGAAAGTTTCTTTAGGAAGGATTTTTGTTTAGCAATTTGTTCACTTAAATATTCTTAGATGTTTTTCCCATTTCTTAGAAGTTCCTCCCTGAGCGTTTTAACTACTTACAAAACATTATTTCAGTAGTAGCTCAAAAGCTAACCTTTTCTTTTTGCATTAAACATAGTTCAAGAAAACTTTAGTTTTTTTAGAAACCTTATTTATTACTATTAACACTTCATTTACCGGTAACTTGGGCTTTTAGACATATTTGGTGCGGCTAATATTGACGCTGGTTTTAAAATTATACGTGCATAGGAGGGTTAACATTGACTTAATTATTTTCGGCTCATTTACTTTAATTTTCTAATTCATATATTTTTGCAACCCAATGCAGGCACATAATATGAATATTAATAATTATGAAATATCAAAGATTTACACCATGAGGTTGGAATAAGGAAAATTTGAGTTTGTGGCAAAATCTCTATTCCTTTCAAATCTAAATGAAAATTTTTGTAATGCACGATTAACTTTACACAGATATTTCACACACATGTATTGAACAAATTATTGGACTTGGAAAAGTTTGAGTGTTTTATCAGTTTTATTTCATATTTTTTTCATTCATTCAAAAGTTTGGTTTTCTCTCAAAATTTTAACTTATTTCAATTCTATTTTATGACAAAAATTATTACCTGAGTTTGTATTTGTATAAAAAAAAATAAAGAAACGATTCACATTATGTTCGTTAAAATGGATAATCGTGTGACCGCCACTGTTTTTTTCCGCAGAACAGAATAGTGTAAAAACTGTTTTAACACATTGAAATGGAATTTCTAGATTTTAATCTAAATTATTATACGTTTTAAACCTTTATTCACTTAAAGCTTTAACTGGACCCAACACTTTGATTTCCTGTGTTCAACTTGGCCAAGTTCATGAATTAGTAGCTTTGTTCTTGTTAATGTTGATAGAAAATCTCCACAACAAAATGCGATCTCGTCAGGAGTTTGTCTTTTCAGGAGTTTGTCTTTCCGGAGTTTGTCTTTCAGGAGTTTGTCTTTCAGGAGTTTGTCACGGCGCCATTCAGCTTTATAAAGATTAGCAATCACCTTTATTTCTAATGATTATTTAAAAAATAATGAAAGTTTATAAGTCTACATTTTGATAAAGAGATTGAGTCTTTGCCTCAAACTCAAATTTTCTAATCCCTATTTATTGACAACTTGATGGTGTAAACCTTTGATTTTTCAAATTCATAGTATTTGGTCTATTAGTGTATTCATAGTTTGAATTATCTAAGCTCTACGACAATTAGTTGCACAGATATATGGATTGGAAACTCAGAGTTTGTGAAAAAGACTTATAGATATCTTATAGATTCCTTTTAATCGTAATTTCACGGGACCTTATATGTGAAAACCAAGTGTTTAACAATTAAAAGCCTTTTCATATATTAATGAGGATAGGACCAACAAACTTGACCAGTGAAAGGTTTTAAAGGTACCGTTGTTAATCGGGCATTGTTATTTTTGCATAGAGAGTCACTTGAAGTTACGTTCACAGTCCCTTTAATATTTGCCCTTCTAACCAGGAAAGTTTTCTTTTCTGACTTATGTGTTAACCTAATGTTAACTTAATATCTTTGCATAAAAGTAACGTTTTTCTTTTGATTAACCAGAGCATCAATATTCAATAAAGGAATTGAGTCTTTGTAACAAACTCTGGTTTTCTAATCCCTTATATCTTTTCAACCCAGTGCAGTAAACCTTTAATATTTCAAGCTATGAAATTTGTTAGATTAAATAATCTAAGTTTGAAATATCAAAGGTTTACAACAACCGGTTGCAGAGATATTGGCTTTAGAAAATTTGAATTTGTGGCAAAAACTCAGATCCTTTAAAGAAAAATATGTCTTAAATACAACATCGTGTTTTAATTAGTTCAATTGCTTTATCAAAAATAAAACTGTTCTATATCTATGTTTATATCTTAGGGATGGGAATTTCATTAAAATTCCCAAATATCAAGTGAGGGAAGAGTTATGCACGCTCTGGTCTCTATACCAATTTAATCAAGTGCAAGATTGCAACAGTCCGACTCTGTTATTTTTGCATAGCTTTAGTAATTCATTATCTAATTTCTTAATTTAAAATTGCAATTTCGCCAAAAATCAAACAATACTTCCATGTTTCATATTCTTGCAAAATTTTTCGTACTTACGGAGAGTTAATATTTAAAATGCTGAAATATCTGGTTTAATTTTTGTCGCGTAATTTCGCATTATGAAATTCCAACTAAAAACAATAAAAAAGAATTAGCGAATTAGCTGTGGTAATCTTAAAGTAAATTGAAGCAGAAGTTAAATTCTTACACTTAAAAAATATTTAAAAAAATATAGATGAATACTTTATCAAGATGTATAATATTATTAGAGAAAATCTGGAATAGATATGCATTTGTTGTTTAACTATAGTAAACTTTAAGCTTGGGCTGACATATTACTGTCTATCTTGAACTGTAATGTTGGGGATATTGACTCCATTTGACATTAGTTTCAATTAGACCAGTTTGTTGCACTACTTTAAATTAAAAACTAAACACAAATTTCTCTATTAAATAGGTTTAATTTAGACTTATTTTTATATTTTTCTAAAGTGTTCTTTCAAAAGGAATCTTAATTACACGAGAACGGTATTTTTAATTACTTCAAATTGAGAAAACGGATTAAAACAGATTTATCGGAACATTTGAATTTCTTTTTCGAGAATCTTAATAGAAAATAAAGACTAGAAAAATGAAATGAACACTTACCTCAAAGTCTAATCTATATATAAATTTAGCAAGTTTAGTATCTACAAAACGTAAACTTTTGTGTGGCAACTCACAAGACCTCCGATGGAGGTTTATATTTGTTTGAAATTGATCAATGTTTACGATTTTTACAAGTCAAACAATGTAAACAAAAAATCTGCGATTAATATTGTTTCAAAAAAGATCAAAGAATGACGGATTGAAGATTCTTGAATTTTTCAAACTAAAATTCTGTAAAGTCAAAAAGTTTAAAGAATCAACGAATTACATCTTCGGGTTGCAAAGATTTGGGATCGAAAAGTTAGAGGTTGAGGCAAGAGAGTTTAGTATTTATTATAATTTTGCAACTTTATGATGTAAACATTTGATATTCAAACTTACATTATTTGATCTAACATAATTCATAGTTTGAAATATTAAAGGTCTACGACATTGGGTTGCAACGATATTGAAATAAGAAAATCAGAGTTTGGGGCAAAAACTCAATTCCTTTATTTAATTAAAAGAACGAATTGAGAATGTACTGCAGATGCCCTGATATCTTTATTAAATGCTGTGCTGCAGAAATGTTTTAAAAACTTCTTCTGATTGTTATTGTGTAATTTTTTTTTTCTCAGGTGTCCCACTACATAATCACCTGCTACCTTCCCTCAGGAATGTTTGTTATTGTATCCTGGATCAGTTTCCTAATTCCACCAGATATAGTTCCTGGAAGGTAGGTTATATGTAGTATTTTATAATGCAGTATTTTCAGACGATATAAATTGACCTCCTTGGAAGGACCTCATTAATTTAATAGTATACAATATTTACTGCAGCGCTGGGCGGCCCAAAATTGGCTTAATTTACCTTCACGCACCTCTGACCATTTTGTAAAAGTCTGACCCCGTTAACCTTGTTGCACCGGCTAGTCCTATTGAGTGTTTGCTTTGTAAACCAAATGTCCGGGCGATACAGTACAAACTGGGGCCGGAAAGGTTGTCCCGGCTCGGAAACTCAAGTGTACTACGGCTGCCCGTGCCTTATCCAACCAAAACTAATAATATAACATACATATTATATTTGCGAATATTTTTTTGGAGGTTGCTAGGCATACCAGATAAGAAATTTTTAGTAAATGAGTTAACACACAATTATTCAAAGTTTGCAATTTCTCATGCTAGAATTGATGAGAATTTTGCCAATTACCTTTTTAAGCTAAAGTTGGAAATAATTATTGCATAGTTTTCACAAAAAAAGCATCATTGAGTTAGTGAGGTAAAATCAAAGGCACACGTCAAGGTCGATCTAGTTTTGAAAATTTAATTTCAGAACACGAACAGAATTAGTTTTATATATATTATTTTGTGACATATTATTAAAGAACAAGCCTGGCAATGAAGGTTTAATTAACATCACGTATTAAACATTTCTGCTTTTCCAATTTAATTTCATGTTTAAATTTCATTACTTTAGGTTAAAAGAAACAACATTTAAATTAAAATTTTTAAAATTTGAATTTCTGTTTACAGTCTGCTTTCTTGACTTTTACTGAAAACTCAAATTTTTTATTCAAATATCTTTGTATCCTGATGCATCTTCAGGTTTCAAAAATATATGGATTGGAACATTTGAGTTTGTTGCAAAAACTCAGTTTCATGAATTTTGTGTTTATAAAATATTTTTATCTTTACTGTTTCAATACCATCAATCATACCAGGATATATTTGATATTTATATTTATTCTGAATAAGATATTTCAAATACATTTAGAAATCGTATATTCTTTTATGAATAAGAATTCTTCTACAATATTAGATCCAAGTTTAAACTTTATATTTCTGTATGATCTCCAAGCACAAGAAAAGTTTCCTTTTGGATCATTGAATTTCACGCCTTCTTTCTCATTTATTGTTGGAAACTTGATGATAAATCGGTTTTTACTATTTCAAGGTTTTCCTAAAAAAATCCCAATCCGAAAGTTATTTCATTAAAAGACTGTGTCGACTTTGAAGTGTCACAACGCCTGCAGCCTTGGCCTTTAATTTTACCTCATCATCCCAGTTGTATCCTTTTTTTGTATCCCTAGTAGGGTTTCCAGCGAAAAAGGAAAAAATGTTACCATTTTTTCGCATTTCGTTCGCTTGCGAAAAATGCGAAAAAACTAATGAGAAACTTTTTGCGAAAAAATACGGAATTTAAAAAAAAAGCTAAATTTTTGCGAAATTTCATCAAAAAAGACAAATATTTGAGATTTAAGAACAACTAGGAGAAAAACAATTCATAGATTTGCTTGCAAATTTTTAATACTTTCTGAACCGTTAGAATCTCTTTTATGAATCACAATATTTTCGCGAAAAGTTTATGAAATACGAACAAAAACCCTAATGCATGTGCATTATAACGATTACTCACACAGAAATGAGGGACCGAATTTTATTAATTTGAGCTGGTCGCTGAGCCACCAACCGCCGGTTCAAATCTTGAATCACCGACTCAAATCCTCATGAATCTTTAAATCGGTGGTTCGAATTAGAACTGGGAGTAAGTAGTTTAGCGACCAGTTCAAATTTATTAAATTCGGTCCCTGAGTTATGCGTGAGAGCTTGCATATTTTGGTTCAAAGTCCCGTAATTATTATTAAAAAATATTACTTCTCACAAGCAGTTAAGTTGTTCGATATAAAAATGAAATAAACAAGATGCTTGGTCTGTTGTTTGTGTGTCGTCTACAAACACACACGAATATGAACATAAATCTTGATCCTGATATTTGCTGTATGAATATATATCTTTGTCTACTGCACAATGGCAAATATATGATAATTTTCAAGGGATTGTCCGTGACTCCATTTTTCACATCAATTCACTAGACTTGGTTTATTTCTCACAAACTATATATGTTCAGAACGCTAGGAACGTGATTTGCCCAACATATCGCAACAAACTCTACTTTCCCATCTTTATAATCTTTTAAATTAAACTATTCTAAACTGATGAAAATCTGTCCCAGACAAGAACCATAGATACATTGTATGAATTATTACATGTTAGGACAAAAGTTAAGAAACTTTAAAGGAGATATAAATCAACTTTGATTTACGACTTAGAAATCTGAATAAGCACCGGACACTAAGAAGTTAGAAAAGAAAGAAAAATTACAAAAATTAACACAAAAACTGAATAAAGCCACAAAAAAACTTCTCCAAAAATTGTATCATTTGTTTATGATTTAACTTAGAAGACAGTCGTAAAAGGTAAGCTATAAAAAGCCGATTCATTTAATTTTTCTTACCCAGGAAAATATTAGCAGACAAAATAAACAGTCCCTGTAAGTAAGCGACCCTCCAGGCAAAAAAGGGCATTGCCCGATTTACAACGGTACCCTTAAATGGTTTTTCAGATCAAGTATGAATTAGAAATTCATGTTTTTGTTTTTTGAACTGTTTATTTTTATTTTCGGTTTCACTGCGAAAGTGACTTGCACAATGCACATACTGGCCAAACTAAAGCCTCGGAGATATCGTAGGAATTAATCACTTTTCGAGTCAATTAAACGACGATATCTTCCACATTTTGTATCAGATTAAGGTTTAAAGGGTATTGTTGTGAATCTAGCATTCTTATTTTTGCATGGAGGGTCACGTGAAATTAAGTACAAGTCCCTTCAAGAAATTAAGAATCAAGAATTAAATTTAATTGCATATGCAAATTTATGTTTAATGCAATTGCAATGTCCAGAATGGCGGTGTAACTGTAACTACAAAATGCACTGAACGTGTTGCACTTGCACCCAAATATTTTTTCTTCTTTTTTTCCTTTGCAGCAATTCAAAACAATCATTTGATTACTAGGAAGTTTAATTATTGTTTAAAAATTACCAATTATCTAAAAGTGTTCATGTTTTAAATAAACAGACTTTTATATTTTAAAACGGCTGCAAAAGAAATATATGATTTAGTTCTCCTATTGAACAACTAGATCCTTTTAGTAAATGGGTTTGCTTTTGAGAAAGGACCCATTAAACTGTTTGCTTTAATCTTGTCATTGTCATATTGTAGAAGGAGTCGATTATTGAAAGTTTTCAAAGGCAAATTCATCTAAATTGTGCTTTTAATCCAGGCTCAAAGAAGCGTTTTATCTATGTATCAATCTGTATAAGATTGTAGGAATGATAAGATAATTATAATGGAAATAATGACTAGAATTCTATAATTCAACAATTAACGCGTAAAGGACCTCTTGAAAATAAGTGTTTCAACAAACAAAATTAAATGAAACAAAAAATAAGAAAACTCAACATCAAACGACTGGGAATTTAATTGAAGTAAAGGTTGACAATCATCATCTTAAACCTTTGTCAGAAGTTCGTTCTGCATTTAGGGTTTGTTTAATAATCTAAATGCATTAAAACTTTTTAGCAGATTTGAAGACTACATATTTATATCAGCCTTTTCAAAGAGTCCCAATCAAGGTTTCAGAAAATATCATGATCTATCTTTAATTGTAACTCTTAAAATATTTCAGAATTTATTTTAATGATTTTATAAATATTTTTAGAATGACCCTGTTAATTACTGTGTTTCTGGTTTTAGTAAACATATTCAATACTATAACCACAAATATTCCCAAGGTATAAAATCCAAATCTTATTGTTCAAAGGAATTGACTTTTTGCCACAAACTCTGATTTTATGATCCCTATATCTTTGGAACCCAATGTCGTAAATCTTTGATATTTCAAACTTATATTATTTGGTCTAACAGAATTCATAGTTTGAAATATCTAAGGTCTACGACATTGGAATACGAAGATATAGGATTTAGAAAAATAGAGTTTGTGGCAATTCCTTTGTTCACATTTGTCGTTTAAATTTTTTCTAAGTCTTGGTTTCTTTTCTAAGTAAAACCTCTAGATATATTCTTTCTTTCAGAGGTTCCTTTAAAATCTGGAAAATACTTGATTAGAACTTTTGCGTATGGGCTTTTAACACAAATTTTTATTATTTTGTTTTGAGGTTTAATAAAAAAGTAAATTTTTGTTTCATTCATCGCTCGCTTATTAATAATTATAATTTAAAATAGATACATTTCTTGTGCATATTTCAGGCCGAAGGACTGACTGCAATCGAAGCCTGGGTTATAGTTTGCGTTCTCTTTGTATTTGGAGCCCTTGTAGGTACAAACAATTTTCTAATACATAAATTTAAATTTGTTTATGTAACATTAATTTATTTTAGTTTAAGATTTTTTACTTAAAGGGAGTATTCGAGAAAAAATTGTGGTATAGGCTGATTGACCACTACTAATGGTATAGGCTGATTGACCACTACTAATGGTATAGGCTGATTGACCACTACCAATGGTTATAGGCTGATCGACCACTACTAATTTTACTTTTATCTGTTGCTTGCGTATATAAGGAGAAAATAGTGAAAACCGTCTTATACTCAAGAGCGTAGAGTCCAAATAAATTCACAGAGTTGCATTATTCAACTCAGATCTAATAATTTAATTAAATTTAAAATTAATTTTCAGATATTCCAACCTATAAATTTCGAATTCAATTCGATGCATTCGTTTTCCTCAAGGTCAAAAGTGTTAACGGTATTCAGTTCACTTTACGCCAAAAAAGATTTGTGAAATTAAATGTCAATATCGGTATCAACAATTTTTAGAAATTCGAAGCTTTTCATCTTTTTTTTGGCAAGTTTACCTTTTCATAAAAGTGTCTAATTTTGACTCGTAAATCCTAACATATTAAGATAAGTAGCTCTAACACTGAATATCTTAAAACAATATGTATCTATTTGTGAATGTTTTTCTCATAGATAAATAAATAAACATAGATAGCTTATGTACGCAAAATCACCAAAAATTGTAAAGTCCGCGAATTCATACTTCTAGGGGTCAAAGTGTACTTCAATGATAAGCGGGGTGGTTTAGTGTTTTAATGGATTTTATAATAGTGTAAAATAACTCCGGGAATGGAACTATTTAAACAACAATATTTCACTGAGCAATCATATTGACGAGAACTGAAGAAGGACATGAGAAGGACTAAACTAACTTAAATTTCTCTCTACAGAACTCATGTACACCACAAGTACTCAATGACATAAGAACAGCCAATGTTCACAACTGACCTAGTTAATCTATATAATAGGAATATCTTTAAAACATCTCTGTACATTTATATCTTTCAAGATGAAAAATGTCGTCTTATGCACAATCTATCTTTATCTATGGTTTTTCTAGAGTATGCTGGAATATTATTGAAAATGAAAGTTCAACTCTCTATGAAACCAAAGAAAAATATGACAAGATGCGAGAGTGTAGACAGTCAGGTTATCTTGATTTCATCTTTTTTCTTTCTTACAGATGGGATAATACAAATTTGGTATTAATTATTCAAAAACAATTTTTATTCATAATTTTGAAAATGCAAACCAATATTATCAAAATATTGCTCTGAATATTTTTATATTTTTAATAATGCTTTTGTGAGGGAATACAAATTTGTAACAATTTATCTTTTTTATCTATTCTTTGATCCATGAAACATGAATTATAAATAAATTTTATAGATAATTTTACACCCATTGGCTCCTGAAAATGGAACGAATGGGGATGAGAAGAGTGGAAAAAAGAAAAAGAAAAGGCCGAAGACTAGGGTAAGTTGTATTGTATAATATTATCTAAAAAGTGAATAATTTATATGTTTCAGGCAGAAGAGAAGCTAGGAACTGCTCGACTCGATTTAACCTTCTTAGTAATATTTCCTTGTCTTTTTCTTTTATTCAATATTGCTTACTGGTTGTCTTTCCTCTATATATTACCGGAATAAACAACAAATCTATTCCCTGTAACATTATTCACTACTCAAATATTAGGTCTTTTAGATTTATCAAATCGTACAAAATATCTTATCCTTTTATGTTTTTCCTTGACCAAATATTGGTTAACTCACATTGAGAACTAAATCTAATGTGTACATCCAAGAAAAAGCAATGCAAAAACAAAAATTGGCTTGGTTTGTAGGTTACCTAGCTTTATGCGCTAATAGAAAAGCACATTTCAGCTTCTCCTACGGTCAGCTTTAGTGCCAGAACTTTTGTAAATGATCTTAACCCTATTCCTGCTGGGGGGGGGGTCAATTTGACCCCCCCCCCTGTAGGTTTTTTTTACATAACTCAAAAAATATTGGTCTGAGGCTGTTGAAATTATTTAACTTTTCCTACATACCCGAAGCCCTCCCTTTAGGCCTAAAACCAGGCTTTAATACTAACTGCCTGAGTCCTCACGTACACTGCCTGAATGACTGCTTTTTCCTGTAACAAACTAAATCTTTGTTTTGACCCACTTCCACTTTTCAGATTTTGATAAAATTTAGCTTTTTGGAAAGCCTTTGACATAAGGAAACGAATTGCACAAGTTTTGCGAAAAAAGTGCAATATTTTTGCAAACAACCTGTCAAAGGAAATTTGCAAATTTTTAGTTTTTCTTGATTAAAAATCAGGTTATTTAAAATTTTGCAAACATTTTTGCATATTTGAAATGGCATGGTCAAGGGCTTTTCAAAAATGTATAATTTTTCATTTGTTGGACAAATTTTGTTTTTACAAACATTTTTACTATATAACTGGATTTTGCGAGAAAAAAATTTTAATTTTTGCAAATTTTCAATTTTTTTTGCAGATTTTAAAAGTAGAGCACAAGAGCTTTCTTAATAATTATGGGTCGATTTTGTAGAAAATAGTAAAATCATGATTGTAAGAGATGTATTGAAAACTCTATCTCTAAATCTGACCATTGGAGAAACCTAAGTGATCTTTTTGTATATAATTCTTTATGCGCATAGAGCCGAACCACCTACAAACCAAGCCAATTTATTTTTCTTGAATGTACACATTAAGTTTAGTTCTCGATGTGAATTAACCAATATATGGTCAAGGAAAAACATAAAATGATCAGATTTTAAAGAAAGTAAAGTGTCAATAAATTTTAAGAAGGCTGTATGGATGACTTATTAATATATTTACTTTATGTTTTTAGAATGCTAATTCTCTTCTAGCAATTCATAAATCTATCGGCAATGAATTTATTAAAAACCAAAATCAGCTAGAAAATATGTAAAGGAATCGGGTTTCTCAAATAAGTTTAAAAGAAACATTAAATATCTATCAAACTTGTGCTAATAGTCTCAAACTAATTGATTTTCTATGTGCACATGATAACATAATAACACGCTTCCTTTGATTTGTTATGCAATTTGTAATAATTCCCCCTTCTACTGTTCACAAATAAATAAATAAATGTTATAATACTAGACATCATTTCTCATGTAAATCTATAAATTGTATTATTGTTCGCCAATAAGATGGCTGTGTCGTGAATTATTGTTTTTTTTATATCACATGATATATGTAAATAATAATTCATCTTTTCTATTAATATCTTGAAAAGTTAACTTAAAAATACTAATATCGGATTTTAGATTTTGGAGAGATTTAAAATAGCTCAATTGCCAATAGATATGAACAATTATTATTTCTTGCATCATCATTAACAACCTGGAGTCTACCCTTTAATAATTCTGCTAATATTAAATGAATAATTGAATACTCCGGTTGAAAAGAAAGAGTAATCATTTCTGTTCAAACAAAAATTTTCATAAACATAAATTAAGAAAAGTAAGTTTTGAATTTTGTTTTCAGAAGCATACACGGTTGTAGAATTATTATTTGAAATATTTTCTGTTAAATTTCTAACATACAACTAATGGATCAAAATACATTGCTTAAAATAAGAAAGGTCTATATGAAATCAAATAAATATTTATATGTAAGTTTTAATTCACGGATAAAGAAGTATTTTCAATAAAATATAATAAATATATATCTTTAATATATTCTAAATTTATTCAAGTAGTCATAATTATCATAGCCTCCAATATTTAATAAAATGTACATAGTTTAACAAAAATATTAAATAAACTGTATTTTTAAATGCTGTGTTTTTTTGGTTTCAATGTGTATGTGACAAAAAAATATTATCTTTGCCTAAAATTCATCTTTATTATAAAGCTTGAATAACTTTATGAATTTTCTGAGAAGAATAGGGTTTTTACTTTTCAATTTGAGTTTGGGAAAGTTGTGTGGTACTGTGGGAAAGTTTCATTCTCCAGCACTCATTTTCTTCACAAGCCTGTAAAATATTAAAAATGAATTTCTACCGTTTAACTATGGCCTCAATAAAACAAAACAAAAATAATTATTTTATAGTCACAACTTTTTAATGCAAGATGGAACAAACAAGGAAACTTGAATTTGATTTGAATTTTGAGAAACACTGTCTTTAAAGAAAAAATAAATTCTGGAAAAGTATCGATTGATATTTTAATAAAGTATTATGCATTCCAGTATCCATTCTTTCCAATGAACCTTAACATATAGAATATTATGGCTGATCGCGTTTATGCATTAACTTTCAGCTTATATGTGTAAAGATATTACAGATTATATAGACAAGACAAGAGAAAATTGTCCCAAATCTTGTTCACTTTATCTTGACTTTTCTAAGGACTGCACACTCTATGGTTATAATTCACAAAATGTAAAAAATAACTTTCTTTTTATCGTACAAGGTGTGTTCAATTCAATAAGTTTTGCGACAAAAAATGTTAAAGGTACTTCTAGACGTCTCAGCCCTGTATTTTTTTTTCAAAGCTTATTGTATCTGCACCCTGTTGTCTTTTACCAACGAACTTCATTCATTAACTTTTTATTTTTGTAATCCACCTTTTCCTGGAGGTTGTTTATCTCATTTGTCAGAGCATGTTTTTAATACCAACCAGAGAAAAAAGACACTTGGGATGCTTGATAAGCAAAAAATTTGTGCCTACAACTTTCCAATTTCAAAGCAGACACTTTTGGTATGATTCAAAATTTATTAGAGGATAATAATATGGACAATGCAATAGCCTGTAATGAAATATGCTACCATGATCAATACAATCTTTATTATCTATGTTTCGTTATCTATTTTATCTATGTTTATGTTGACCCTGACCGGCCATTCCGGTCAGTTGTATTAACCTGTATTAATATGTTAGTAATGTATGAGTCATTGATTTAAACAGACGTGCATAGAGCCTTGAGTTTTTGCAAGAGATATAGAGACTTGAGTTTTGGCTAGAGATAGAGTAAGTGAGACTGAAATTAGACTAAGAGTCAAGTAATCTCGGGACCTACAGGGTGTCCCACATCATATTAGACCGTCAACGGGTCTAAATTGCGATTTTCGGGACTAATAAGAAAATTTAATTCGAATGAATCAATTTGAAAAATAACATAAGGCTTATATAAGAATTTTCTTGCGGAAAATGATAAGTTCTTCGAGTATTAAGGGTTTATTTTGTCGTTAAAAATTTGAGATAATCTAATATGATATGGGACGCTCTGTAGATTTATTACAAACCAGTTTACAAGTGGACTGAAAGGAAAAAAAGTGTAATGGCGAGTGTTGGCAAAACGAGGAATGTATGAGCAGGAAAAATCAACAAAACCCCCACAAACAATCAACACAATTGAAACAAGAGGGAAGGCCAAGCGGCCATGAACCCCGTGGAAAAGTCTCCGAAACCCTGCAGAAACAGTCTCCGAACCCCGTGGAAAATCTCCAAACCCTGTAAGGAGCAAAAAATGTGTTATTCTGGGGGAAATCGCATGATTTTTGAATTTTTTTCAACATATGGCACAGGATCAAACAAAAGTATTACTAATAAATGCAATTTTGATCTTATTCACGGCCCTAGTATATGTTTATTTTGTATTCCTGTTTTAAGCTTAAACTTTAAAATGGACCTACGCAACAACGCACAATGTTTTTAGTATTTCAATGATATTTTTCATGAAAATGCAATAACATGTTTTAACGTAGTCCACCACTTTTTTAATTCCCGTCATCAAAGGGCAGTTTTACTCCATAATATCATTTTTTACTGTCTCCCCTTNTTCTTTAACTTGATTATTATATTTATTGAGTCCATATGTCGAGAAGATTGGAAAATTATTGCTAATTTACAAGTAATATTTATATTTGATAACGTTTTTTTCAAAAAACCTCCTCCACGGGGTTCGGAGACTCTCCACGGGGTTCGGAGACCATTCCACAGGGTTCGGAGATTTTCCACGGGGTTCATGGCTTCTTGGCCTTCCCTCCCTAAACAAATTCGCAAGGCTTCTTAGTTGATGATTTTTGATGAGTTTGACTTATGCTATGTTGATGCTGAAAACAAAGTTGTAAAGCAAGATTTAAAAGGTACAACAATTGGGATAACATTTTATTAAATGAGTTCCTAAGAAAAGATGCTAATTTGTTTGCTGAAATGTAGATTAAAACTATAAAAGCCTTAATGGACCCTTTCTATAATAAAGGCTTACCCTCCTTTGACTTTTTAAGGTTGCCCGACCTATAGAGCACGCTTAAATGGATTATTCTTTAAAGGGACCGTTTACTTATTTGGGTAATTTCAGGGTAAACTAAACAGCCTATTCGCTCTTGATTCGTAATAGTCTTACTTTTCAAAGACAACTGTGGCCGGAAAAAAGGCCGATTTTTCGTTCAGAATTTGAGCGGAAAGTGACGGTTCCTCTTTATTGACACTATTTGATTTTTTTTCAGTAACAACAGCCCAATAAAATTTAAATTTATCATATTGTAATGTCATTATGTGTTGGTATTATGTACTAAAATATGAAAACTTTTGATATTTGAGTTAGCAAGAAATTTACGTTTTACGTGATTTTATAAGTTACTATTTAAACTATTTGCTTTTAAACATCAATTAGACTTAAGGATTTACATATATGTCGTCTTCTTCTTCCGCAGTTTTCTCTAAATGAAATTACTTTGAGACATGACAGCAAGAATTTATGTTTTATGATAATTCATAGCAAATAGGTTGTCAAGTACTTGACAATCTATTTGATTCATAGTAGTAACTTTAAACCATGCGCACATTCTAGTATTATCTAGTATTAGTATTATCTAGTATTAGTATTATCTAGTGTTAGTATTATCTAGTATTAGTATTATCTAGTATTAGTATTATCTAGTATTAGTATTATCTAGTATTAGTATTATCTAGTATTAGTATTATCTAGTACTACTTACTGGTTTTATCCTTTAC